TGCAATAAAAGAAAAGGGGTGGGGGGGAGGGGGGCTGCACTTTGTGTGCAGGTATACATCACATGATTCCCACATGACAGGGGAGTGGGAGCCCCTGCTCCGATGCCCGGGCACCAAATCCAAGGTAGGCAGCCCAGGAGTCTGGGAGCTGGAGGGCTCAGAGGCTCAGGGTGCAGGGCCATGAGCTCACCATCTTCTTTCTAGCAGCAAATGCTCTCCTCGCCCCATACCTTTCTGCGGGCATCTCCTACAGCAAAGCATCTTATCGTTGCTCTGCCCAGACAGAAGACACCTTTATTCTTCCCTGAACTTCCTGTCTCTTATAGGAAGGGATCCCTTAAGTCAGCCCTCAACACTGTCCCAAGGTGTTTTCCTGCTTCCATGCCTTTACCTCCATTAAGCCCCTTTCTTATTTCTTAGCAGCCAAGTCCTGTACATCTTTGAAGGAGCAACTCAGTTTTGTCTTCAGGAAACCCTAGACCCCCCCCCCCATGTTTTACTCTAAGGACTGTCTTCAACCCTCAGGTGATAACCTCCACTTTTTACCTCCCAGCGTTGTCTTCTCCCTTAAGAGGGGAAGTCTCTTCCATCCAGAATCTAGAGCTTCTGCCTCTGCATTTCCCACTGCTGGGAACGCAATTGCCGGCTCATGGAGTCTCAGTAAATGCCGTGGTAGATAACTGTTCACTCCTAACTTTACGAATACCCATTCCAAAGCTACTCTCTCCCCACCACCCCTTTCTGGCTGAGGGGCTCTAGCTCCCTTCAACCCAGGCCTGGGGGGTCCCCTGCCTCCAGGACAGAGGGGACTGCTGGCGGGGAGGGGCTGAGGAGGGGGGTGGTTTTTCCACGCATCCTGTGGAAAACGGAACTCATGCTCTCCTCCTCTCCTTAGTGTTAGCTAGTGGTCAGGGCCAGAGCTCTGTGGTCTGGGGGTGAGAGACTGGGACCGGGCAGGGAGAAGCCTTGCGTGGGTCGTTCGCTCCTTCCGCGGTGGTGGCGGGGAGCCGGCGCCCGGGAGCGGCTAACGCGCCCGCGGCACCCTCGGGTCCCAAGGCGTCGGCTCCTTGTCAGTCGCGATGTCTACGCCCTGCCTGCGCCGCAGCCGCCGGGAGCCGGCACTCGGGCGCGTTGTCGGGGTTGGAGACGTCTGAGATTGAAGAGCACACTCTCCCCGCCCCCAGTTCCGAGCGAGCGTGTGCGGGAGGAACAACTGTGAGTGAGTGCGTGATTCGCAGTACTTCGAGTGGCAGCACCCAGGCGGACTGCGCGCCCCCTAACCCGCAGCACGTGTGTACTCCT